GCTATAATGGATACTCTCAATTTTGTGAAGAAACAGCGACGAGGCAATGTTTCTCAAACGTTGCGGCAGGTTATGAGGGCCGTCACCGCGGCCGCGCCTCCAAACCAACGAGCCGTGCTGGTGCATGCCAATTAACACCAACAAATTACCAGCAATTAATTACCCAGCCGCCGCAGTTGAAACAATTGTGCGAGTTGCTTAAATGCCCCCCTCCCCTCCCCGCCCGCCCCCCCCCATCTTTGTCGATTGCAGCAATATTAATGGGGTACACCAGTCATCCGAACGGCAGGTTCATGTGTGGTGGGGTAAAGTGTGGGCACTTCAGCATCGTCCAAGACGTCTGGCCAGGTGTTGAAGAGTAGGCCAAGTACTCTCTGGATGGGGATCTCTAGCACAACAGTGGGCACAAGCGAGCAACTCCCAAGGGGCTGTAAATTTTACCCCTTTAATTCACGTCAATTAATTGCCCTGGAAAGCTTCACCGAGTCGCAAGATTAAAAAAGAAAAATTCTAATTTTCTTGCCGTGGATTTCACACCCGATGACGACTGCTTGTGTTGCAGTCGAAACGTCGTGAGAATTGTTATTGTTTAATATTTTTATTATTTTATCATTTCCCTTCTACGTGACTTTACCGAAAGAACCAAGAATATGAATCCCTGTAGTCACAAAAGGTTTAAATAAAAAAATTTCAGGAGGGTCTCTCTCCGCACCACGACACAAACCTTGGCCCAAACCCACGACTGAGCGTCTTTTGGCGTAATTGTGGGAGGAAAACCGGAGGACCCCCGATGAAACCCCACGCACCTAACCCCGCAGGCGGATTCAACTCGCGTACAGTCTCAGGACTAGCGAGTTAAGGTGTCCGTGTACCACGACTCATTGCTGGAATGCCGCCTGCTGTTTGCCGCCACCTCGCATGTCTACGACACACCTGGTGTTCCACTGGCGGTCACCCCATATCCAGGCGGTAACGAGGCAAAACCCTCCTTTATCATCCGTGATCCGGCAAGATTGGGGCGCGTTCGGTGTGATTTAGTCATCGGCTCGACAGCTTGACAATGTAATTGTGTGTAAAGTGTACAAAGTCAAAGGATGCAACTAAATTTGGTGGCCTGGCAAGAACTTACTCGTCCTTGTTAGGACATTGCGCTTCTGAAAAAAAAAAAAACATCGGCAATTCTTGATGCTGCGAATGCAGAGAAGGATTAACCTTTGAGGTATTTTTTTCTAAACACCGACTCAGCTGCAGCGAGATTTCTTAAACGCCTCCTTTGAATTCTGTGCCCAGACTCTATAATTTCAATGAACCATTGCATACAATAGCACTACATGCTTTTCCTTCAAACACCCTTTGTTGTCTGGACGTTGAGATAACCAATTTATTTCTCCCCCGTAAGTACCGTATTGTGCCTTTTGTTCTTTTGCAGAAAAAAAAATCCATCAGTGTGTAAAAATGAAAACCAAAACTATCGCTTTTTTTCTCTCTCTCTCTCCTAAACATACGCATATATACTTCGGTTTTTTTTACTTGCGTGTGTTCGTAAGATTTTTTTTTTTTACACTTCATTTGCATTCTCGGCAAAAGGTGATCTGGGATGAACACGACAGAGCCGGGGAGAAAAACTGTATCAATGAAATGTACTTCCACCATCCCCGCTGTGCGAGCATTTCTGTGCAGAAACACAGACGCGCGATTTTCACCGGGAAAAAAGAAAATTTGCCTTCCAGCACACGTTCAACTCCCACGCACGTAGAAGAACCCGTCGTATAAATTTCATCATTCTTCGCTTCATTAGACAACTTATAGACCCACCATGGAATTAGATGCCAATAAGACATCACTTACGAGATAACTGAAAGTGACAAAACCTATAGATATATATTTCTTAACGGTTACGCACTTTACATAATTTATGCGCCGCGCGTGCTCGCAAATGAGTGATTAAATTACAATGTGGCCGTTGTTGGATGCGGCCTCGCAAAGGTAAACAAATGTGAAAAGAAAGCAGATTAATAGGTTGTGATGCTCAGAATCAATTCGTGGAATTGGTTGTTTCCATGCCTAAATCACTCGCACCGATTTGGGGAGTATTTCAGGGAGGATTATATTTAGTACACAGTAAAACGCTTTCGGGGGTCAATAGCTCAACACAATAAGCCTGCTCTTAAGGGCTCCGTCCCCCGGCATTGTAAATTCTAGGTTGGAAATGTCAGCCATGTAGAACTGATGTGGCACATCGTGAATTCTAAGAACAAAGAGGATTTTTTTTGAGACAGCAAATCAATGCAGTGCCACACCGCGTCGATGCCCCCTGTTTGGCGTCGTCATCATCGTCATCATCAGCCATGATCTATCCACTGCTAGGCGCAGGCCTCGCCTAGCCGTCTCCACCGAGTTCCCTTTGCTCGACATCCACGGTTTATGCCCCCTATCAGGCCTGCTTCCTCCTTTGGTTGCTATTCTATTTCATCAAGGGACCTCCTTTGCCAGTACCAAAATATACTAATAGGGTTTTTCCCCCTTTTTTCTGGCAACAAAACTGACACCTTTTGCAAGGAATCATGCTTACATTAACCACAATACTTGCAGTCAAATGCAAACATCTCATTACTCTGGTAGTGCGTTGTCTTTGAACTGTGCGCCTTTTTAGCGTCATCTGGTCGAACACCATATGAGACGAGGCTCTAAAGAAAGCTGTCTCTGGTGTGGACCAATCAGTTTAAAAGACAATGCATAAATTATCAGAGTATTGTTTTTTGTTTGCATTTTACTGCAAGTATTGTGGTTAATGTAAGCATGATTCCTTGCAAAAGGTGTCAGTTTTGTTGCCAGAAAAAAGGGGAAACCCCTATTAGTGCTATTCCATTGTTAGCCTTGACCACTGGATTTCACCCTTTCTAGCAGAGTGTCCTGCCCAAGCTCACTCACTCCTCTCATCCTTGCGTTCTGCTTTCTGTCTCTCACTAATTCTTGAGCGTGCGCCTCTCCACGCTTGCTTGCGATACTTTTCAGCTCACGTTCTATTTTATTTCGTCAATGTCTGATACATCGTAGAAGGGGAGTCACAAAAGGAGACATGCTCGAGCCGAAGCTACAGACAGCGAGATTAGTGGCGCCTACTCTGAAAATAAGACGGCAGAACATATAAAGATATCAACCATCTCACATTTGTACGATTGTATGTTGAACTCCTTTTTCACCATACGTAGCCAACCCTGCTATTCGAACAACAGCATGTCTTGCTTAGCCATTCAATTCATTGTAAAGCCTTTGCACACTTGCACTGCGTTAATTTACAAAATTAATCATGGGAGCAAAAACCACACAGGTAAACAATAACGCATCACGTGGTTTGTTCAGTTTTCTCTTGGGCTCAACTGACGTGACCACAATGCAGTGCTCTCATTTGTCACCTTGCATTGGATGCGTTTGTTGCGTTTGTAGCAGCATCACCTTTTTTGTACTGTTTGTGCCTTAGCCATTCATGCCTGTAATCCCCATAGGTATCCCTACAGTGAAGAATTGTCTCTCAATCGGCTCACACTGGCTTATGTGAAGAGGGTAGGTATGTACGTATAATTATATTATCAGTCATACCTGGGCCCTATTTTACATAAATTACCATCTCATTTGTATAACACAATAACAATTAACAATTCTTTGTCAAGTAATTGCCGGATGAAGGAAGGTCCCCCCATTCCACATCGGTCATTGGGGGTTTCGTGACCACACTTCACCATGCTGGCCAATGTGAAGTTGGTTGAAATGGATGGAGGGGTCACGATTCGTTCAGATGTCACTCACCACTGACGTTTGCTGTGGACGGGAATTGAACTCAGTGCAGCTGCTCACCACCGCGCCACTGCTCCCCACTTGTGTATCGACCCACAAATCAAAGCAAAGTGACAGATTTAACAACTTCATACAGGGACGTCTACATACGCGAGAAGAGGGTAGGATTACGAACGCTAAACTAACCCCTGAACTTTCGATTTAAAGCTTTCATGACTACAGGGATTCATATTATTGGTTCTTTCGGTAAAGTCACATAGATGAACTCGTCTGTCTGAACACCCGCAAGTTGCTGTCAGTGGTGCTAACCTTAAGAAAAAAGCGCCACTTTTTTCAAATTTTCTTGGTGTTGTTTTCACACCTGATAATGATTGCTTGTGTTGCAATCGAAACGTCGTGAGAATTGTATTGTTTTATTTTTATTATTTTATTATTTCCTTCTACGTGACTTTACCGATAGAACCAAGAGTATAACCCCTGAAGGTTAGCACCTCTCCTGACATTGCCTCGTCAGGGACAAAATAGCTCAACATTCTGAGACACACTGGCTTAGAGAAGTAACTTTTTTAGACACGGGGGGGGGGGGGGTGCTGTATATTTCCCTCAAGCTACCTGCCTCAGCAAATCCTAGGCCAAGCCAGACTCTCCTAATCCACCATGCATAGCGAGAAATGCAAGATAGACTGAGTCGTGTAATGTGTGCGTATCAATTGAATATTAATCATTATTTATCTTAGAGAAATCCGATGAGCTATGAAGCTCTTTTTGACCCAAATGTTCAGTAAGGGCGGGTCAAAAAGTTACGACCACAAACAATAAATACACGATCAGAGTGCAAAGTATAGGAGAGGAAAGCAAATAAAAAAAGTAAAAGAGACAAAGTATAACAGGATCGGAGGTGCAGGACCGGTTCAGATAATCGTCACTGGTGTTGGTGGCCATGAGCAGGAATCAAACTTGGGTTGCCGGGTTCCTAGCGCAGTGCGGGCACTCCGATTGGCTACGTACGGTTCAATAGAAGTTCAACATACACACACACATACGCACGCACACACAGTTCTTTTCTGCGATGCCACCTTGGACGCGCACACAAGCATGTACCCCTGGCTCCTTGCGAAAAATGTGCCTCGTGCCCTCCTGCGGGGCCACCCGTCACAATAGCAAGACACGACGGGCAACTCTCCACAAAGGCAGAAGTGGGTTACCTGCAGCCCCCCACGGCAGGCGGGGATGCCAAGGGTCTCGAGCAGGATTGTGGCCAGGGCTCGGTTCTGCCGCTCCACATTCATGAGCCGCGCCTTTAGCGCCGAACACTGCTCCCTCGTAGCCTGGGTGGAAGACACGCACACACCGCCCCACCACAAACGTGCAGCTCGCATAAAAGAGGCAACTCGAGCAGCAGCAGCAGCAGCAGCAGCAGGTCCATCCAAACGTATTTCAATTTAATGCTATTGTTCGGCCTTTCAAGACCGCAGACAAGGCTTTCCCGTAAATGTTCTCCGCTCTCCTATAATTTCGCAGCAAAGTGCGCTGAACGTCGCATTTTCCTGTAAATACATATGGAAAAGAAAAAAAAATCCATTTTCTCTGGAGTGATTTCCCATATTCCCCGTACATTGTGCAATTCCTTGAAAAAAATAGGGTGGACATGTTCATTACTCTGTGTCAGTGTGCCCCCTATCTAATCTATACACATATGTCTGCTGCTCTCTTCGGGGGCCTTGAGAATGCTATGAAGATGTGGCGTGGTTGGAATGCTCGATAAACCAGAATGAAACTACCACCAGAGTTCGCACGCTTTTACGATACTTTCATTTAATACAGCGTCATTCGTGCTAATGGCATCCCATAATGCTTTACATTCATTATATATTTGGTCCGTATATTATTATATTATAAGAACAACATCCCACATCCAGCCACTACCAAGTAAATCAAAACTCTGCTCCTAAGAAAAATCCAAAATTAATAAACAAATCAAGAAATGGCACGAAAAGCAAAACAAACTAAAAAGTGATCACAACAAAGAAACGAGTCCATTAGGTCACATTCCAGACCACAATCCCGAGGTTTCTAAACCAGTAGTGGAGTGCCAACAAGTTACGACTCATTTATATTAATCGGTCCAATATGCAAAAAGTGATTACCTATTTTTAGCGGATGCCTGGACGAAAAGAAACGGCTTTCAGTTCAGATGTGAACAATGTGACGGAGCTGAATAGTCGGACGTGGAGCGGGAGGGCACTTGAGAAAGCTCGTCCACCGATGGTTTCAGGTTTTATATATTTTTTCGTGTGGAGAACAAAACCCAGCGAAGGTGAACGCAGAACCACGGGCAGGGGTTGTAAACTGCAAAGGCTGATTGTCAATGTGCGATTCGAGGTGTCCTCGGCCTTGATTTTCCGATTCGAGTGTTCTGAACGTCACTGGGGCGTGATTGCGCATGCGACTTCCCTGCAGCTACCGGCGATCAAGTCGCACTGGCCGCCGTCACGACCGGAATGAAGTCGCGGGCATGAAGTTGCCCGTGAACCGATGGGAAATGCGCCAAAGGCTATGCACGGCGGCGGCTCGCACCACGGCGGTTATTTACGCGCGGCATTATTCAGCGCACACTTAGCGCCGTGTCAAAGGGAACAATGCTTCAAGAGTTATTGCTTCCCGCGCAGCGATGCAGGGGATCTCGGTTTAGCCGTGACGTTGGGGGCTAAATCTTCAAAGCGAAGGAGATGAATGCTGGATATTTTTTTTTATTGAGGATGTTTAATTTCTTGGCGGTGCCAATGCGCAGAGGACCTTGCTGCTGCTGCTGTTGTTGTTGTTGTTTGCGGTGTTGAGGGATGTTTATTATGCACAAGGTCGCAGATGTACTCCCTTCATACCTTGCCTGAGGCACAACTGAACGAAGGCCAACAAGAGGCTCCAATGGACCACTTTAAACAATAATAGACCCGAGAGAATACGGAGGAATTTTAGCGCTCCGAGATATTTAACCAAAAGTAGATGACACAACCCTTTTTTTCAACAATGTAGCCATGAAGACAGCAACCAGAGAACATCTTTGAACATATTTCTGCCATGAATAAAGCACTACAGTTTTTTTAGGTTTATTTTATTTATTTCATATGTAAAGTGTGCTTGGAAAAAAACGATGCTTTTGTTACTCAATAGCGTTATATGCTTTTAGTATATTAAGAGTATGGCAAATTAAAACCATTACACCTTCTCCTGTGCTCTGTGTTTAAATCAGGGGTGATTTATCTCTGTAACATATATAAACAATTAGACAAAAAAAACATTGATTTTAAATAATGTAGCTATGGAGACGGTTTCCAATAAAACGTGTGAACTTATTTCTGCCACGTAAAATTGACCACCTTTTCTCAATATCTGATGCACTATTAAAATAAAACGCGAAAAGAAAAGAAAGATTTCCATTCGGATTGTGCCCGAGAAAAACAAACGCATCATCGTTTCTAACTGTACGGCGCTATTGCCTTTTCTTTCTTTTAAGATTCGGCAAATTACAACAATTGCACCTTCCCACTATTGCCTTCCAAGCCTCCATGTGCCGCGTGTCACAATCGTAGGTGTTCGATTGCTCACCTGCTGCGTCAACACAGCCTGCATGACCTGCTTGGACACCTGCGAGGTGGAGCGTGATGAGAGTCCGCGAGTGGAGAGGTTTGGGGGGGAGAGAGACAGGGGAAATCGGTGGGTGACAGCCAGACAGCCAGGTTAGCGAGCCGGGGGGGGGGGGGGGGGGGAGGACAGCGATAATAATGTCGAGCCGGAGAGAGAGATAGAGAGAATTGCAAATTGAGGTATAGAATGTTTGGCAAATTAAAGAAATGCGAATGGGAAGAGAGCATAACTGGGGAGGGAGAGAAAGAGAGAGCGCGCCATGTAAAATCCATTAAAAGTTACTCAAGCATTTGACAAAAAAATGTGTTAAGACAACATTCGTTTTACATTAATTCCCAGGAGTGTAACAATCGGCCAGGCCCAATGAGACCATTAAAATGTCGTTACGGTAACCTTTCAACTCCCCCCCCCCCGTCCCCGCAGAATCTCCAGGGAGACGCTGCGCAAGCGGCTGAGCTGGGCTATGAAGAGCGACGACAGGTTTTCTATTAAAATCTTACTCGCCGGAGATCCGGCGAATACCAAAAGGGGAGAGGAGAAGGAAAAAAAAACACGGACAAAAAAAAATCAATTTCACTCTCAACTTTGCACCATTTAGCAATGTCAAGAAATCTGATCAACCCTCCCCTCTTTCTCTTCTTCCAACTAAACCCCCACACCAGACCCCAAGAGCCTCAGCTGCCAAATTCACCCATCCCTCTCTTCAACTCTGCCCCCGCGTGATATGGGGATTACAAGCATCGAGCAGGTGGTGGCAGGGCACTGATGTGATGCGAGTTGAAAAATGTTTCAACCGCGCACAATAGTCCGCGTGATTTTGATTATAGTAGCGCCGTGATGTATACGGGGTGTGTGTCGAACTCGATGTGCTTTAATAGATTTTCTTTTTTTTAGACATACACACACACACACACACGAGATTAGCAAGGGTGTCTCGGTTGAAAATGTTGATAAAATATCCTTCTGCGGTAAGTAGAGAATTCATCTTCTTGGTTCTTTCGGTAAAGTGACGTAGAATGGAAATAATACAAATGAAACATTATTATGTTTAATTTTTAATATTTTATTATTTCCATTCTACGTGACTTTACCGAAAGAACCAAGAAAATGAATCCCTGCAGTCACGAAAGCTTTAAATCGAAAAGTAGAGAATTGTTTAAAAAATGAAAAGGGTCATGGGACCTCCCTTGCCAGTATCAAAATATAAGAATAGGTTTTCCCCTTTCTGACAATAAAACATTTGTGTTAAGATGTTAAAACGCCAAACTGAAACCTTTTGCAAGGAATCATGTCTGCATTAACAGCATATACTCGTGGTGAAAATACAAAACAAATCATGCTCTGACAGTATATGCATTGTCTTTGAAACTGATTGGTCCCCGCCAGAGACAGCTTTCTTTAGAGCCTAGTCTCAAACAGCGTTAGATCAGAGGACGCCAAAAGGCGAACAGCACAAAGACATTGCCTCTGCTGTGGGCCAATCAGTTTCAAAGACAATGCATATACTGTCAGAGCATGTTGTTTTTTTGCATGTTCACCACAATTATTTGTGGTTAATGCAGACATGATTCCTTGCAAAAGGTTTCAGCTTGGTGTTTTAACATCTTAACACAACTGTTTGTTTCATTGCCAGAAAGGGTAAAAACATATTCTTAATGAAAAGGGTATTGTGTTTTTGCATCGCGTGTTGCTGTAAACTTCTAAACCTGCCTCGATTGGATTTCTGTACAAAAAAATAGCTTTGTGGCTCATCGGATTCCTCCAGTACAAATACATATTCGGATTCCGATTTGAAAAAAGGCTAAACCTACGTGAAAATGACTTAATATTTGAGAGCGCTTTAGATATCGCGATGTCTTGTTGGTCCACCGCCTCACGTTCGTTGATAGGAAACGGAAAAAAAACACCGCATACCGTTAACAATGGCCACGATCGCGCCCGACAAATGTCAGACGTGTCACGCCAACGGTGGCGGCGCTTTCTTGGGCCCCGTGGTTCAAAGGAAAACATTGAACGTGTTCAGTGTCACGCTTCTTCTGCTGCTGCTGCTGCTTCCCCTAAAGCCTTCGTAATGCCCCCCCACCCCCTCGTTCCCTGTCAATGGTGAAATCCCTGAAGAGCTTTCTTGCGAATACGCGGCTCTCTCGCGAACGCCTTTTTACCGAGCCGTTATGACTCGGCTTATGGCGAACGCGATGCGATTTTTATGCCTCTCATCTTGTTTTACATATAAATAGCTACAATAAGCCTACGGGCAAATCACCCGCAATGATACGCAGCATCCGAGCACCATCCACCTTCAAGCAACACCTCAAGGCTCTCACCTGGTTCAGGCTCTCACCTGTTCAGGCCCTCACCTGGTTCAACAAACTCTCATCTATTCAGGCTCTCGCCTGGTTCAGGCTCTCACCTGTCCAGGCTCTCACCTAGTTCAGGATCTCACTTGTTCCAGGCCGCCACCTGATTCAGGCTCTCACTTGGTTGAGCCTCTCAGCCAGTTCAGGCTAAACGTAATAGGCCTCGGCTTATTTGTGAATATACAACTACATATTCGTAGACTTGTCATTTACCAAATATTCACACTCATACAATTTGTAGTGCAGTATGGAATTTGACTGTTCTATATTATAAATGAATTTCATGGAGAGTAGAGAGGAAAACGTCCCCTGAAAAAAACTGCAATACCCGAAACACACCCGGTGAAAGCCCCTGAAATTGAATGAAAATGGAGCCAGATATTCCTTTAATTGTTAACAAGTAGATTTCACCGAGTGAAAAGTTGCAGAGAGTCAGCAGTAAGTTCACGGCAAAAAAGTATTGTTCACTCCTTTCAGGTTTTTAATGTGCCGCGCTGACAGCTGAAAGTTTTTCAGAAATAACGTGTTTTTTTTTTGCCAACCAAATGTTAGCCTTATTTTGATGCCCCTTTAATACTGAATCCGATTCTCTGCCGTGTTTGCTGCCTTTGCCACGTATTGTTTGGAGCGGCGTCCGACGTTTCGCTTCACGTAACTAGGATATTTTTTTGGGGGGGGGGAAGAATTTGAGTTCCTGATGATGCACCCAGGGCATGAAGCGCGGCTTCACTCGTCGTGCCAAAAGGACACACGGCGGGACACCTCGGAGATCCGTTCAAGCGCAACCTGAAACACCGATGCAAGATTTCATTTCACTTCCTCACGACAGCCCCACTTGTCAATCCATTGTTGGATAAAGGCCGTCGCACACCGTGGCAGTCGTGGTGGTCATGTGACCATACTTCGTGAAGAATGGGGAGGCCCGGGACCGGCTCAGATACCACTCTCCGCCGATGTTGGCCGCGGCCGGGAATCAAATTCACACCGCCAATTTCATTTGTGAGCCGCTGAGCTCTGCGGCTATGGTAGATAACTTTTTTGTTTTTCATTTGCCTTCAGAAATGTTGCATTCATAGGTCGCTTGCTTAACCCCTTCCCGTTCCGAGACGTCTGCAAGTTGCAGGGCGGGTGTCCCGTTTACCGCTGAATCTCCTAACGCGCAAGCGGTTATTAGCGTAAATTTTATTCAGAGAGGCATTCACGGTTGTTTCTTTTTTTTAAACATTGTACTCAGTGCAGAGAACTGCAGCGTTAGCTGGCGTGAAACAGTGCCACACGCCCTCGCACGTGGCCTTGTGGGTGCCTTTGCACGTCTTCCGACCCGCACCGATAACGTTTTTTTTGACAATTGGTTTTTTACCCTTCTATCTGGCAACAAAACCGACACCTTTTTTTACAAGGAGTCTAGTTTGCATAGACCACAATACCTGTAGTCATAATACAAACAAAAAACATAACTCTGATAATGTATGCACTGTCCTTGAAGTTGATTGGTCCACACCCGAGACAGCCTTCCTTAGAGCCTAGTCTCACATGGGTTGGACCAGATGACCCATGACGTACACGACGAATCGGAAGAAAAACCGATGGACGCACATGTACGTCATCAGAATGGGAAAGGATCGATTGACTCGGCAACTCTAAAGTGCCTCACATCAACTTGTCGTCTCCACCAATTCGACGTGCCTGCTGCAACCGGTACCAAGGGGACCCCCCCTGCAGCCGTTGCCATGAGAACCCCCCCCCCCCGCAACCGTTGCCAAGGGGACCCCTCCCCCAGTGGGCAGCTGTCCCTGTGCACCATCCTGGAAGTGGGCGTTATTCGTCTGCCAGTCACCAAACAACTTGGGTGGGGCATCGAAAAAATGGTGATGTTTGCAGCAGCCTCTAAAAACGTGCGATGGCGTTTCACGTGCGCTGAGGGGTGATATACCTCATCAAGGCAGCAGCTGTAGTGCTCACGCTGGGCTGAATTTTCAAGCGCTAGTGCACAGTTCTGTGCCTGAAAAGAAAAGAGAGAAAGAAAACACAACAGGTTATGAACACGGCAGATGTTAAGACAAAGAGATACCCTGCAGCGGAGTGGAATAATGAGGTTCATCTACATCACCACCCAGGATGATTTAAGTATATATATAATTGCTATTAACTTATTAGAGATGATCTTATATTTGAGAGGGCGTGAGTGTGTGTCTTAGGAAAGTGGCAGATTGCAGCGTCAAATGTCACACCCTAGCAAACATTTACATGGCACGGTGGCCATTGTACTTGAAGTCCTTTTCCCTTCCTCCATGATGTGAGGTTGCCACCCTTGGCCATTCCTGTCCATTCGCATGAACACACCCAGGTAAAGGTGCAGCCCTGCAATCGCTCTCGCCCACGCCACTGTCGGCAGAACGGGTCTCCACTCGGGGGAGCTCTAGAGAGGCCTCTCTGGAGCGTATCCTTGGTCCACACTTCCAAGGTGGCTAGATGCTGGCCAGACGCCTCGGATGAGGTCAGAGTACGCACACTTTACCCTACTCTTTACACCACCACAACACGGACAGCCAATTGACAAACTAATAATTATCAATAATGCCAATGCCCCGTATTTACTCAGGGAAGTCTCCTTACTGAGTCTCAGAGTTATTTAGAAATTTGCGGAGTATTTGACTGCTTTCAATGTCCACGTGATAAGCCACTTCGTTGAGTTATGATTTGTGGCCAGGTTCACTTCTAAAATATATCTTTATAGCTCAGTGGGACTTACCTGGTAAAATAAAAATGGTTTAGTCGTTTAATAGTTTATTTTTCAGGTGGGTCTTGCAACATGTGGATTTTTGGTTAATTCCATGAAGGAGTATTCATGTGGGAGGACACTGACAGAATCTCGATAAATGGGTAACATCCAAAGCTGCTATGAATTTCCACATGATAAGCCACTTCGTTGATCTATCATTTGTGGCCAGTTCTGAAAAATAATCTAATAGCTCAGTGGGCCTTACATGGTAAAATAAATAGATTTTTTTTTCAATTTGCTTATTTTTCCCATACTTTGCACTCCTATTGTGTTTTCATATTGTTCGTTGCTGTAACGTTCTAACCCGCCCCTACTAGACATCTGTGAAAATAGCTTAATAGCTCATCGGATTCCTCCAGTTTCAACGAATATTCTGATTCAAGAATCCACTGGCTGTACTTCCATTCCATGGCCACCTTGCAGCCCAAATCTTTAAACATCTGGTATTTGATATTACCAGGTAGTCTTCCATCGAATTACTAACCAGGCACAACCCTGCTTTAAATTTCAAGATCTGACGAGATTGGGCATTTTGGCAAAAGCGAGGCTCAATCTTGTCAGAAGTGCCCTGATTAGATGACACCTATGACCAGACCAAAGAACCAGATGGCGCTCCGTGCTACAAAAAAGTATTTTCAGCACATACCAATCATGTTTGATGCATACATGAAATAATGAGACTGTGTTTGACAGTGGTGTGCAGGGCCAAATAACAAACGAAAAACTGACCACATTATTAATTCACAATGCCTTATTTAAATAAGAGCATAATTCTGTTATCAGGCAATGCTAATGGTAAATGTGTATATTTTTTCACTTTAGTCAGAGCTGTAATATGTCAAATTCAGTTCACACCCAACATTTGTTATATTTGTGCAGTCATTAAAGCGATCAGGCTGATACCATGAAATGGCCATACCCAGCTACACTTGAAATGCGGGATTAAACACAGAGCCCCGATTTCAACCCGATGTTTTGCAATTTGCGCTGGGCTCCGTGGCTTGAATCGACCGCTTGAATCCTCGAGTCGCCGAGCGCACGGGCCCAGGGCACACCCTGGCACCACCTGCGATGAGCCGAAAAACGTTCGTGGCACAGGCCGGCAGCACGACGCGAATTCGGCAGCACCGTGACGTGGCCCAGTTTAGTCGTACGTACGCATATATTCTAGATTTGAAGCTTTCGTGACTGCAAGGATTCATATTCTTAGGTTTTTTCGGTAAAGTCACGACGTTTCGGAGGCAACAGACGGAAGCTTGTGTTGCCTCCGAAACGTCGTGATTTTTATTTTATTTTACTTTTATTAATTTTAATTTTTTACCTACGTGACTTTACCGAAAAAACCTAAGAATATGTATGTTGAACTTCCTTTGCGCCGTGCGTAGCCAACCGTGCTAATCGGAGGTGCGATTGGCACGTTAGTCGTCTCCAGCAGCAACTCGGGATAACTGCCGGGGCCTCTAGTCAGCCTTCAATGAGTTGGGGGGGGAGGGGTTTACTCATCCTAGTTTTCTTCCCTCCTCCCCAATCATCGTCTGTAGCTTCCTTCCCCGAAACGATTCATGCCGCCGACTCTCTGCTCCTCTTCAAGGAGTACAGACCCATACGGCGGTGAGTACGACTGAATTGACACTGGTGAGACTAGGCCATGAAGAAGGCCGTCTCTGGTGTAGGCCAATCAGTTGCAAAGACAATGACGTGTGTTACACAGAGCACGTTTGTTTGCATGTTCTGCCACAAGTACCTGTGTGCGTAACGCAGACTTGATTCCTTGCTAAAGGTTTCTATTTGGTGTTTGTGACCATCTTAACACAACTCCTGTTTTATTGCCAGAAAGGGGTAAAACCTGTTATTGTTTTCATACGAGTGACTTGTTTGACGATGCCACTCACTTCAAATGGGTGACCGCATAAAGTCACGAGCACTGACCGATTTAAGAAAAGCGTGAGCATTTTAAGTGACGGAGGAGCCACTGGGTCGTCTCGACAAGTAAACTCTCCGGTCTGGGCTTGTGGACTAATCCATCCACTTGTGATTTGTTTTTTTATCATCCACCACATATAATTTGAAAGGCTGTATGCTAGGAGAAAAAAAAAAAACTTCCCACAATATTAAAGTATCTGTTGCGAATAACCGCAGCCTGCCCAAGCTTGTCTAAATGAGCATTATTCTTATTCCATTATCAAACAGATGCTCTGTGGAAACTGAATTCCCCGTGCTATTTTACCGTGGGCTGCCGCGTGATTGTGGATCTCTTTCCTTTGGTTTCCTTGCACATCTTAAAGAATCTTTTTAAAGAGTTGAATAGCAAAAAAAATAAAAGATTCCCTCCAGCCGTGATGCACAATGTTGTCCTGGCTGCTATCAGTCAGTTACCTCCCTCACCTTGAGAGAGCCAGGTCTTCAAAGCCGACTTAAGTCCGCTTGTAAAGCCTGAGCTACTTGATTTCGTGTGGACTCTAAATGACGCAGCTTGGCACTGCACCCCCCCCCCCCCCAGCTCTACCCAACGCGCAGACATGAGCGCATTGTGAGAGCGAGACTTGGATAGCAAGAAAAGCTGCACTGTTCCCATTACTTTGCTGCCACGATGGCCCACGGATATTCCCTGATGCCCAGCTAATCCACAAAAGAGAGATTAATCCGGCCCTGTGTTATATTTGATAAGAGCGAATGCTTAACTTCTATTAATGCCAAATGTCCTTGTGTTCGTTAAGGGTTTACACTATGATGTTATTGGTGTTGGACCGATGCATCAGTTCGTCAATTATTAAGCTCACGATATGCACATTGGACCACGCGTGTGTGAATCTACGTCTTTTGATTTATGTGCGCTGTATATAATGAGTTAACATCACCTAGTCCGGACCTCCGCTGGCAACCTAAAGAAACTTCAAAGACTACAAAACAACCTAGCACGCGTCGTCATTGCCCACACTCATCCCCGTCTCGACTCACTAGCTTGTCTACGTGCTCTCAACTGGCTCCCCATCGCCAGTAGGGTCATATACAAGACCGTCTGCCTCTGCCACAATGCCTTCATATCCGCCTGCCCGCCGTACCTCTCTTCATTATTGACAACTTGCAGCTCAGCACACGGCAGATGCCTGCGCAGCGCGACTCACGACCTCCTCTCGATACCAAGATCCAGGATGGTCATGTCTACACGCCGCTTCTCGGTGGCAGCCCCAACAGTCTGGAACGCCATCACCCCTCTGCACATTCGCAGCATCACCTCAATCGCCTCCTTCAAGAGACACTTAAAAACTCACCTCTACAATCATGCTTTTGAGCGACTCTGAGCTTGGCTCCGTGCCTCTGAGTTGCGGCCACTATGTCTGCAAATTTGCGCGCGTTACAAATTGAACTATTATTATTATTACCCCTGCAGGCACTAGAGGCGCTACCATTCACCGGGTTAGGTGACATGGTTATTCTTAGCTTTTCGAGATTTAATTCTGATTCCGGACCAGGTGACGTGGTTTTATTCTTTCTGACGACGCTTAACAACGGTCTTAAGTGAAAAGGTCTTGTATCCAATCGCGACAAAAGTTCCTCGTGAGAATCGTTTTTCACTTCACCGGCGCAAACCACAACAATAATCGCTCGTGCGCTAAACGATCTTCCATCACGTTGCAATTTCATGTCTCCATGTAGTCCTCCCCACTCGCACTAACGCCTTTCCCGTCCCAAACTCCCCATCGCCACCCATAATCAATTCACTCGTCTCATTTCCATCTTCGTTTATTCCACGCATCGTCGCCACCACCTCATTTTACACACATAACCCAAAAGGCGTCCTCTGGTCGAGCACCAATTGAAACGAGGCTCAAAAGAAAGCTGTCTCTGGTGTGGAACAATCAGTTTCAAAGACAATGCATATATATCAGAGCGTGTTTTTTGTTTGCATTCTGACCACAAGTTTTGTGGTTAATGCAGACATGATTCCTTGTAAAATGTTTCAGTTTGGTGTTTTAACATCTTAACACCTCGATTTAAAGCTTTCGTGACTGCAGGGATTCATCTTCTTAATAATAAAATACACAGTGTATTTTATTACGTGTATTTTATTATGTTTAATTTTTATTATTTTATTATTTCCCTTATACGTGACTTTACCGAAAGAACCAAGAATATCTTGACACCTGTTTTGTTGCCAGAAAAAAAGGGGAAAACTTATTCTCATATTTCATTAACTTAACAAAAAAATCATTTTACGA